GAAGGGAGTGGCACGATTTATTTAAAGTGATGAAAAGGAAAAACTTACAACCAAGAATACTCTGCCCAGCAAGGCTCTCATTCAGATTTGTTGGAGAAATCAAAAGCTTCTCAGATAAACAAAAGCTAAAAGAACTGAGCACCACCAAACCAGCTTTATATTTTTAACATAATTGCAACCAAGACTACACAATCCCATGTGTAATCAATTTCTTCTTTCAACATTATGTCAGAGAATTTTCCAGACTGTTACATGGCCTTTAAAAACCTATCTCACAGACAGAGAATACAGACTTGTGGTTGCCAGGGGGGTGGAGGGTGGGAAGGGATAGACTGGGATTTCAAAATTGTAGAATAGATAAACAAGATTACACTGTATAGCACAGGGAAATATACACAGAATGTTATGATAACTCAAAGAGAAAACAATGTGACAATGAGTGTGTATATGTCCATGAATGACTGAAAAATTGTGCTGAACACTGGAATTTGACACATTGTAAAATGATTATAAATCAATAAAAAATGCTTAAAAAAAACCAAAACCTGTTTTAAGCAACTACATAATATCTTAACAAATGAATGTCCCATGATTTACTCAGGCCCAATGCTGTATATCTAGGTTTTTCTAATTTTCCACCATATAAACCATGATGGAATGGACTGCTCTTCTCAAGCAGATTTTACTGTATTTCAGATTATTTCCTTAGGCTGGATTCTCAGATTGAAGGTGATGAACATATCTGTAGCTCTAGATATACAATCTTTTTGTCCACTATTTGGTTCTATTTTGAACACACTGTTTATGTTTGAACAAAATTCTAATAAACCTTGTGCACTTACTTAAGACTTAAAAATCCTTTTCCAAAATAACTTGAGATGGCGTATAAAATAGAAGTGTAAAAAAGAAATAATAAAAAGAATACAAATAAGAAAAGTAAGTGGACAAATACATATAGCCAACCAAACTGGGGGCTGGCAACCTACAGCCTATAGGACAAATCCGGCCCTCCATCTTTTTTTGTAAACAAAGTTAAGTTGGATCACAGCCATGCTCATGCATTTAAGCCTTGTCTATGACTGCTTTCAAGTTACAATGGCAGAGCTGAGAAGTTGTAACTCAGAGACAATATGGCCAGTAAAGCCTAAAATATTTTCCATCTGGCTTTCACAGAAAAAAGTTTACCAGTCCCTGAACTAAAACTACCCACGTTTATAGAGTTTCATCCTAAACGGTAAAATTCCCAGTCTATTCTGCTAAATCAATTTCTATTTCTGGCCAGGATAGAGCGATGGTGACCTAATGACACCCACCAGGAAACAACAACAAAAGCAGACATGAATATGAAACAGCAGTTTTCAATACAATGGACAGTAGGAAATGACAGGGATCAGCCAGGATGTAGACGACTTGAACTATCTATCAACTGAAACTGGCTGACATTTACAGAGCGTTCCATCCAACAAGAGCAGAATACACATCCTTTTTAGGGACACACAGATCATTTACCAAGATAGATTAATTACATCTGAAGCCATAAAACAAATGTCAGTGAATTTAAAAGGACTCAAGTTATCGAAGGTATGTTCTCTGGCCATAATGGAATTACATTGGCAATAACACAGATATCTGGAAAATCCCTAAATATCTGGAAACTAACCCACAGACTTCTAAACAACTCAGTGGTCAAAAAAAGAAATAAAGAGGGAAGTTAGTTAAGTATTTTGACATGAATGAAAATGAAAATACAATATACTTAGGTGGAAATTTTATATACAAAATGCCAAAGGAACACAGTCTCAAATC